ATTTAGTAGTTGACTAGCTTATAGTCTCGTGCAATGCACGGATTTACCAAATTTTATAAAAGTTTGTATCTCAACAATTTTTTATAAATTTTTTCTATTTATAAATAGTATGACAAAGGTCAATATTCTTTAAAAAAGTGCTTCGTAGTAAACTTTAAGTTGTACATACCCATATAATATATATACTCGGTACAAATTTATACTATATTAAAAATTATGCATATATTTTTTAATAATAGTATTTTGCTTAAATTTTCTATATGTTGTTACAAAATTGTTTTATTGAATTTGGGAGGGAAAGATTACCTTATATAAAATATATGAAAGATTATATATATATATATATATATATATATATATATATATATATATATATATATATTGGTAAAGTAGGAAAATATTATACAAGCAGTGAATTAAAAATTTCCTAAGATAATTTGACAAAAAAGTAAATAAAAAATTGGCGGGAAATTATTTAACAAGATTTTTCCACGTGTCGTTTGAGATTTGCCTTTAGTATATAGTAATTGATTTTTTTTTTTCTTTTCCTTGTTTTTTGAGTTAATTTTTTAATTTCATTTAACAGTTACTTTTTTTTCTCTTCTGTTTGGAATTTATTTAATATTTGCTTTTTTCTCTCTTGTTTTAATTTGATAATTCAAATAAATTTGCAATTTTTTTCCGAATGTTACCCAAACCCCTTCATATCTATTATCAAATTGTTTAAAGGCTTACTATATGATTTTATGATAAGGTAATTCATTCGTACTTATCGTTTATTGGATTACATAACATGGAATTGGGATTACGTACAAACAAAAACTTATTCCTTTGTTGGATAATATTTAATATGTAACTTTTAAAAACTCCTCTTTTGCCTAGGATTACTATCATATGCGATTTCAAATAAATATTAAACAATTATGTGATCAATTTTTTTCTTGAGATTTTTATCAAATTATTAAACATCTGATATTTTCCCCCCTGGATTAAAAATCCTAGCTCCGCCACTAATATTAATGCACCTAAAAATCTAATTATGGTGGTGACCACTTTAATTAAGCAACAAGATTACCGTAAACCTAAACCGGTTGTTCAGTTTATCTTATTAGGCGTAATTTTTATTACATGCAATTTGTGTTAAGAATAAAGCAAACATGCATATCTATATAGAAGTAACTTTGCAATCAAAGCATCCTAAACATGACTAATAAAATACTAAAACATGATACTAATAATTTAAAGACCCTAAACATGATACTAAGCAAAGATCACCATACTAGATTAATTAAACTAAATAAAGCGTAATTATTCTACTTACTTTGATTGCGTAACCTTGCAACTACATCACAAATAGAATGTTAAAAAAATTAAATATAATTAATAAATCAAAAGCAAACTAGTTAGAAGCAAATAAAGTACAGGATTTAACTCTTAAGAATCATACCTTTCATGATATGGACTGTAAAAGGAGCTTCGAGTATTATACGCATGTCTAGGAATACTCGAGGGAGGAATGGTGACCATTTAGGAGACGCCTAAGGTTTCAGTATAACTTGTATGTGAGTGAGATTCGGTGCCCAGGCCAAACCTTGGAATTTATAGAGTATGCATTGGAAATAAAGAAAAGTGTAAAGTGCCGTGACACGACAGAGGTGTAGCACCACGGCGGAACAATGTCGTGACACGGTGTAACGCACAGTCACGCGACACTCTTGGCGAGTGGCGGCACTTACTGAAATGAATTTGGACAGGAAAAGGGGCAAGATGAATCTGGAAGGGTGTTGCAACACGGCAAATCACGTCGCGTCACATTGGCTGGTGCCGCGTTGCGGAACATATGACGAGTCACGACACTCTTTCCATGACGCGACACTTCTGAATATCTGGAATATACCTATTTCTAATACTTATCCAGCTTTTCTGATGAAATATATTTGTTTACGTGCCCGTTTAACGCGTATTCAAGTTTCTGGAACATTTTAATGGGTTTGTATTAATTTGTAGGCTAAGAAATTAATGGATTAGACTTAGAACAAAATAGAAAAGGGTTTGAATATAATTAAAAAGGTTTAGGCTTAGGATGGAATAATAAAAAGGAAATGAGTTAGGTTTCTAAACAAAACTCGGGTATTCTTTAAATCCAATATGGACCAAATGGCAGTGAAAGGATTATTCATAATTGAATTTTTGTTGGGCAGAAACTTTTAGATGTTTATAATACTTATTTGCATCTTTTTATTGAATTTATTAAAACATTAGCGAATACAGTATAAATCCGCTTTGAATTTGATTACTCCGTATTGTGAAAGATCAAAATGAAACCATGCCTAATAATTGTTTTACATCTAAATAACATTATTAACAAAAAAAAAGGTGGGCATGATAAATGATAATATAATTGAATAAATTAAAGTAATTTGTTAATTTTAGGAAATTTTGTAAAAAAAACCACCCCAAATACACCACTTTTGTCAATAACCACCATTTTTTACGAAATTAAAAAAACCACCTCCAAAACACAAAATCAGTAGGTATCACCATCCTTCCTTTTATTCCGATTAAAGGATCCACGTGTAAAAAAAAAAAATTCCCCCTAACCCTAGCCTCGGCAACCACCCTGTCCCCCATCTCCTGCCACTCCACCCAAACTAGCCACCTGCCGGACCACCCCCCAACCCCGACCAACCACCTCCAACCACTACTCCTGTCGGCGAACCCCACTAAGCCCCATTCCTGCTCGCCTGGCCACCAAGCCCCCTCCAATTTCGTCCCTGATGTTTCCCCTTTTTCTTTCCTCGAAACCCTAGATTTTTGGGTGTCAAACAATTCGCAACACCAGCCGGAACTAACCACCGCCAACGACTCATCCTTCCTCATAAACTGTTTCAATGGAGTGAGAGAAAGCTAGCTCATAAGTCGTTTTAATGGAGAACTCAAAGTGCGCTTCACTGGAGGAGGCTCAAATCTGCATTTCATCAAACAATATGGGGGAGAATTTTCAAGAAAGAGAAAATCAATAAAAAATGTTAGATAGCAAACTAAACCTTAGAGTTGCTGTCAAACAAATTGTAAAAGAAAATCAATTTGCCTTGTTTTCTTTAGAGTGAAAAAGGGAAGAAGAAGAAAAGAAGGTGTTTGGGGTCCAAATAACTTGTATTTGGGCCCAGTCCACAAATGAAAATAAACAAAGCCCAATAGGCAAGGTCCAACCCCCTAACACATATGCCAAGTCAAAGTCAGCGGGGCCCAATCAGATGGCAGCCCAACTGATTCCTCAAGCCCACTCCATTCAATTGGAGTAAGGTATAAAAACTCTCATTTTGCCTCACTTACTTTCATTCACAGATATTGCCTCAAGCAACAAACACTCTTTCATAGCAATTCTCTCTCCTTTTTACACTCGTACTGACTTCGACATCGGAGGGGCCTTCCTCGGCACAACCCCCGAGGCTTGTTTACTTTTGCTTAGCTGTGTAGGAAATCCCCAATTAGGTCATCACTCGAATGGGGCCTCGTCTCCACTCATCCGAAGGACCTACCGAAGGTACCATTGTTTTTACCGAAACAATTTGGCGCCGTCTGTGGGGACACTTACAAAAATTCAGCCAAAAATCTCATACCAATCTTAGCCAACGCAAAAAATGACTAAGAGTGGCAAAAACTCCAAAAAAGCAAAAAAGATGGGCAAGAGCAGTGGTTGTCTGAGCCATCTGCCTCTAACTCTCCGAGAAGAGAAAATCTGCGCGAGGGATCACCCTCCCGACGGGTTCACCAAGCTGGGAACTCACCGAGAGAGAGCGATGCTCATAAGGATAGCCCTTCGCAAAGCATGCATTCAACTCCTCCCACCGTTCCTTCGACTGAAGAGGTGGCGAGGGCAGTGGTTGTCTGCATGGAGTTCATGAAAGCCCTGGGTGGACGCCTCCCGTCCGTGCATACTACTCCTCCTTCACCCCCGCCAAAGCCGGAAAGCCAGAAAAGGAAACTGACCTCGGGAGGGGAAGGGCGGATTCCACTCTCCAAGGGAGAGGGAAGCGAAAGAGCCAAAAGCTTGGGCAAGACAGGACGAGAACGGCGAGGGGACTCCGGTCACTTTGAAAATTCCCAAGTCCGAAACTCAAAGGACGTCCCAAGTAGCCACAACGCTTCTCGCCGAAGCGTTTACGAGCGCCAGGGGGAAGGACATTCACAGTCGTCTCACCTATCCCGAAGGCTCTCACCCAGAACTGTCGCGCGGAGGGACACCCTTCACGTCCACCTCTCTAAGAAGGAGAAGTGAGGTTCCTTCGGAAAGGCAAAAGGGAAAAGTTGTGATGGTTCCTACCAGTTCACCTTTCCAGAGGTGGATATTGGAGGAACACGTGCCGACGGTCAAAATTCCAGCGCACATCACTTACGACGGTACTTCGGATCCGAAGGATCACATAGCCTCTTACGAGGGGCATATGTACCTTAACCCCAGGTCCGAAGCTACCTGGTGCAAATACTTCCCTACAACCCTGAAAGGTGTCGCCCAGTCATGGATCACTAAAGGGCTGAAGGAAGGTTCTATAACAGGTTGGAACGATCTCTCCAACAAATTCAAAAGCAAGTTTTCCACGGCTAATCGCCAAGAGAAAATAACTGCAGAACTTATGAGTTTGCAACAAACGGAGGACGAAAGTCTCCGAGATTACTTGACTCGCTTCAGCAACGAGTCGTCCAGAATCACAAGTCTGGACCAAACCCTAGCCGTATTCGCACTACGGAACGGCTTACAAGCTGGAAAGTTTCTGGATTTCATGGTCATGCATCCCCCGCAGACCTTGGAAGAAGCCCTTGATGCTTCGGATAAATTTATCTGAGCCGAGGAATGGAACAAGGCCAAGCTGCAATCTCAATCAGGGCTTGCCAAGCCAAAAGGGCATCCAGCCGAAGTTCCAGGGTCGAGGAAAGGGAAGGCGAAAATCTCAGAACCTCCCTCGGCCACTGAGCCAAAAAAGGACAAGGCTCCCTATATGGGAAAATTTGAATCTTACACCCCTCTCACCTTACCACGTACTAAGATCTTTAGTGCGACGAGGGAAGAGGGAAGATTCAAGAAACCAAAGTCGCCTCCTTCTTGGCATCAGAAGAAGGGGAAGGATCATTGGTGCGGGTTTCATGAATCCCATGGGCATCGCACCGAAGACTGCCTTCAGCTGAAGGACCAGATTGAAGAGCTGGTCCAGAAAGGGTACTTAAAGAAATATGTCGCGGAACGCCGCGAAGAAAAGAAAGCTGAGAGAGATTCTCGGCAGGACCTGGATTATCACCGGAAAAGGGACAAACCTCCCGTCAGGACATCCTCACCATTTCTGGGGGGTATTTCTCGAAATGCGCTGAAACTCCATCTAAGGGGGCTGACCCATCAGATCCATCACGCCGAATTCCGAAAGCCACAGTCCCCGGTGCCGAACATGATGTTCACATCCGAAGACTGCAGGGGGGTGGTGTACCCCCATGATGACCCATTGGTTATCATGACGAGCATCGCAAACCACAACGTCTATCGGACACTGGTAGACGGTGGCAGCAGAGCGAATATACTTTTCCGAAAAGCATTATTCCAGTTGAAATTGGAGAGCAGGCACTTAACTCCAGTTCCCTACCCAGTGACTGGATTCAACGACTCTTCTTCATATCCAGATGGGAAAATTCTTCTTCCCGTCAGCCTCGGCCAAGACTGAGCAAGACGAAGCATCATGGCCGAATTCTTGGTCATTGATGCCCCATCAGTATACAACGTCATTATGGGGAGGCCCCTCATCCATGACGTTCAAGGAGTTTTCTCGACGTATCATCAAGCAATGATCTACGTTTCAGACGAAGGACGCTCCGAAAAAATCTTGGGCAGCCAAAGAGAGGCCCGAGAATGCAATTTCCTCAAACTATCCAAGAGTCGCCGCAATGACAAGGATGACGAGGAAGAAAAAGAGAAAGAAAAAGAGCGAGGTACCAAAAGGCCGAAGGGCCTAAGTGCTTCAGCTCAGGGATCCCCATCTAAAAGAACATCTTTGGGGACTGGAAAGGCTAGTTCTTCGGCTGGGCCGAAAGATTCAGAAGAGGATCAGCCGAAGCAAGGGAGGTCTGCTGATATTGACAGTAGGCCCGAACCAGAAGAGCCTGGCTCCAAAGCTATGGAGTCAGATGAACAAATTGAATCAATGCCGTTGACCGAATGAGATACCGAAAAATGTGTCAGCATCGGACGAGGGATCGATCCGAGCCTCCGATTTGAATTAATAAAACTCCTTCGGGACAACCGAGATGTGTTCGCATTCTCAGCAGCTGACATGCCGGGAATTGATCCGAACCTTATCTCTCACAAGCTTAATGTCGACCTCACATGTCGGCCAGTTAAGCAAAAGAAGCGGAATTATTCCGCTCAAAAGAACCAAGACATCGCGGCCGAAGTCAAAAAACTTCTGGACGCAGGGTTCATCGAGCCTTGCCAATATCCTGAATAGCTGGCGAATGTGGTGATGGTTTAGAAGGCTAATGGCACCTGGAGAATGTGCGTTGACTTCACGGACCTAAATAGGGCATGTCCGAAGGACTTCTATCCCTTGCCGAGAATCAATCAGTTAGTTGACTCGACAAGTGACCATGCTCTGCTTAGTTTCATGGACACATTTTCTGGGTACCATCAGATCTTCATGCACCCCGATGACAGAGTGCCGGAGCAAGTGCCGGGGTGTATAACTATAAGATGATGCCCTTCAGCTTGAAAAATGCCGGAGCGACATATTAGAGGTTGGTGGATCAAGTGTTCGCCGAACAAAAGGGCCGTAACATGGAAGTCTATGTTGACGATTCCATCGTCAAGAGAAAAGAGGCAAAAGACCATGTTGCGGACCTAGCCGAAACGTTAGCCACTCTGAGAAAGCATCAAATGAAGCTGAATCCGAAGAAATGTGTCTTCGGCGTGAAGATAGGAAAATTCCTCGGCTTCATGGTCAGCAAAAGGGGGATTGATGCCAATCCCACCAAAGTTCAAGCAGCTCTTAACCTTCCCGAGCCGAAAACAAAGAAGGACGTTTAGCGTCTCACTGGGAGGATGGCTGCCCTGTTCTGGTTCATCTCAAAAGCCTCGGACAAAGGGTTTCCCTTCTTCAAAGCGCTCAAGCTTCCAAAATCTAAAGAGCTCATAAGGGCAGAAGAGCAAAAGATAGCCTTCCAGCAGCTCCGAGAGCACCTGGCTAATCTCCCAACGCTGGCAAGACCAACCGAAGGAGAAGTCTTGTACTTATACGTGGCAGTTAGCCCTGCCACAGTGAGTACGGTGCTGCTGAGAGAAGAAGAAAAGGTTCAGCAACCAATCTACTTCGTCAGTCATACTTTGACCGACGCCGAAACGAGCTACCCCTTGCTTGAAAAAGTTGCATATGCAGTAGTAGTAGCGGCTCGGAAGTTAAGGCCTTATTTTGACTCACATCAGATAGTGGTCTTGACAGATCAACCGCTGGAAAAAGTCCTCGGCAAGGTTGAAAATTCAGTCAGACTAACAAAGTGGGCCTTCGAGCTCACTGAGTTCAGCATAAGCTATCAGCCAAGGGCAGCCATTAAGGCCCAAGCCTTAGCAGATTTCCTAGCCGAATGTTCCTATCAGGAAACACTCGATGAGGGAAAGAAGATCTGGACTGTTTTCACGAATGGCTCAGCCATCGTGAATGGTTCGGGGGAAGGGGTAGTGATCACCTCTCCCGAAGGCAAAAACTTCGAGTATGCACTAAAATTCTCATTCAAGGCCTCCAACAACGAAGCCGAATATGAAGCAGCATTTGCTGGCTTAGAGTTGTGCATAGCCCTCAAGCCGAACATGTTTGTTTGAAGACAGACTCTCAGCTAGTTGCAATCAGATCCGAGGCAAATATGAGGCTAAGGAACCCTCCATGATCTCCTATCTCGCCAAAATAAAAAAAGTTATGGTAAAGTTGAGAACTTTTGAAATTGAGCTAATCCCAAGGGGTCAAAATGCTCAAGCCGATGCACTCTCCAAACTTGCAAGTTCATCTCTCACAGAGTTGAACCGATCTGTATATGTGGAAGTGCGCCGAAACAGAAGCATCGACCAAGAAGCTGAGGTCCTATGTGTCGGGGCCGAACCGAGCTGGATGGATACAATCCTCGCTTATAAGCTTCAGGGAGAACTTCCCTAAGACAGAGTCTTCGCCGCAAAACTGAAAAGAATCGGCTCAAGGTTCATCGTCTATAATGGGGAACTCCTAAAGAAATCCTTCTCAGCCCCACTGTTGAAGTGTGTGGGTCCAATAGATGCAGATTATATCCTTCGGGAGATTCACTTCGGCATCTGCAGAAACCACATCGGGGGAAGGACCCTGGACCACAAAGCCTTAAGGGCAGGATACTATTGGCCAACCATGATTTTGGACGCTAAGGAGCTGGTGAGAAAATGTGAAAAATGCCAAAAATTCGCACTAGTCATCCATCAGCCGTCGCGAGACCTTCAGCTAATCCTAGCTCCTCTTCCCTTTGCTCAATGGGGATTGGATATCTTGGGACCTTTTCCTGAAGCTCCTTACTAGAAAAAGTGGCTAATAGTCGGCATTAACTATTTCAGCAAATGGATTGAGGCCGAAGCAGCTTCAAACATAACTGAGCAAACTATCAGGAAATTTATCTGGCAGAATATCATCACTCGCTTAGACATTCCGAAGGTGTTTGTCTTTGATCATGGAAGACAATTCGACAACCTGCCGCTGAAGCGCTACACTGATCAGTTCGAAATAAAATTGGCATATTCAGCAGTCTTTCATCCTCAAAATAATGGCCAAGCCGAAGCAGCAAATAAACAAATACTCAATGCTCTTAAGAAGAGGGTCGAAGATCAGAAGTCCAAGTGGATAGAGGAGCTCCTAGGAACTTTATGGTCACTTCAGACAACTGAAAAAGAGGCTACGGGACATTCACCTTTTGAATTGGTGTATGGATCCGAAGCCGTTTTACCAGTGGAAATTGGCTCAGAGAGTCTTCGAGTCAACCAGTTCTCAGCCGAAGAAAATGAAAATCTCATGAAAGAGTCTCTTGATTTCCTAGACGAAATCCGAGATTCGACAAGAGACAGAATGACAGCATACAAACAAAGAATCAGCAAGTTCTATAACCGAAGATTCCAGGTAAGGCTCCTAAAAGTTGGAAACCTTGTCCTTCGGAATGTTGCTGCAGTCCGGAAAAGTCGCATCCATGGAAAACTCTCGGCTAATTGGGAGGGGCCTTATGAAATATACGATGAGCTCCAGCCAGGAACTTATCGACTTCGGCAGTTAGATGGAACCGAATTGAAAAACCACTGGAATGCTGATGTACTTAGGAAATTTCATGTGTAAAAGCCCAATGTGGGAGAAAAATCTATGTAAGTACGTCTTCTTCAAATCAATGAAAGGCCTTTGAGCCGCCATTAGTCAAAGTTTTTGTTATGTCTTCATTATTCATGTCTTCATCGTTTTTGAAAAATTCAAGGTTTACACCCGGTGTTGTCCGAAGTATTGCATAGTGATGCACTGTACTTCGGCAAGCCGAAGAACCTGCCGATATGGGGGTAACAAATATAACCTCGAGGTATTTCATAATGATGCATTGTACCTCGGATGGATTTGTTTCTCTCGGAAAAGAGGTCATAGGCTCGTCAAGGGCATAGTCGAAAATAGGAATTGACAAAAGGCTTGAAGCATTGCATAATGATGGCCTGTGCTTCGGCAAGTCAATCCCGGGTGATGATTGCAACTCTAATGTACTGCATAATGATGCCTTGTGCTTAGGATGATCATTGCCCTGGCACCGTGTCCAAGATAGTCGTTCCCTCGGATGAATTAAAACCAGGCAGAATATAAGAAACAAACATAAGTGTTCAAACTATTAAGTTGCAAAAATGTTGCTAGGTCCAAGCATTCGGCTACGCCGAAAGGAAGAAAGCAATAAACTCAGAAATCTGAAGACCTTATCTTCAAAGTTCTGGGGGGGCAAGAGGTACTCGCACATCAAGCTCCAAGACGATGCTCAATACTTGGGAAATTTCAAGTAAAATCCGAGCAAAATGGGCAAGGCATAAAGGAATAAGAAAAATCCTCAGCTAAATATTTCCACACCGAAGCTTTGTACTTAGCCAAATTTTGAAGAAATTTAGGAAAAAGCAATTAAGTTCAAAGCTACTCAAACAGGCAAAAGGAGAAGAAAGAGCTGAAATTCTACTTCATCTATACAGAAAAATTAGAGCTACAAATGTTGAGTTAGAACTACAAATACCAGGTTCAGAATATTTAACAAAAATTCAAAGTCGGCAGCCGCCCACAAAGCGGAAAACACAGCTGCCAAAAGTACACAAAAACAAGATTATAAAGTTTGTACAAGGCAGACTGAAGCAAAAGACAGGCAAAAGCAGAAGCGGAGATCATCAATTTAAGCGCAAGTCGATCCGCAAGACTCAGAGGACAGCGCTGCTTCGGCATCAGGCTGAGCACCTGAAGGTCCAGCCCCATCAGAAGAAGCAGAAGGTTTCTCAATTTCCTTCGTGGCCTTCTCAGCTTCGTCAGCTTCGGCCTGACGAACCAGGAAGTCAATTTCAGCCTAACTAGCCTCGTTGATACGAGGGTTGTTAGGATCCATTGACCAGGCTTCAACCTGATCCTAGTTGAGGTCCGGAGCAGCATGCAGGGCCAGGAGACGAGCT